ATCAATTTGAATAATTAATATTGCGATCAATTTATACTATAATACAGGTGTAGACTATTGCCAATTAGTGTACATGTGATTGATATGACATAATGAAGGGAAGGAGTGGGCGATAGATACGGGGCTGAAGTGAGTGAACAATTGGATGAAGGGTTTTATATTTTGTATGAAATATGAAGTTTTGATTATTTTAACATTACTTATGATGAGAGTCTACTGTATTAAAGTGTATTTTTGTGAGAATTGAGTGCATAATTGAAATAATATCTCATTTGAAAACAAAGTTAATTGAAAACCATTTAATGAATAAATGAAATAATCATTTTTATACATAATAATCGGACACAAAGTGTTTCCCCTTTCTGTCAATAATTTGTTTATGAATTTTATAACTTTATACTCGTATGTCATGAGAATGGTATGTATGCATACAGTGGTAGGCATGTATGTGTTATACAAATGCCTACCGTCTATGTAACTGAAAATCTTTTACCGGTATTAATTTATTAATTATATTTCTGTGAGATAATAATATTATTAAATGATTAGTTTATTAATATGATTACCATAATTGTAATAAATTGTATTGAAATCATCAAAATAAATATATTGAAAAAGGAAAGCCGTTCAGAACAATGGTTTAGAAATTAATATAAATATAGTTATATTCAAAACTCATACAAAAAATTAAGCAATTAATCAATTTTTATTATTTCAATATGAAATTTAATTAGCAAAATATTATTTTTCATTTAAACTTAAATTAAATTAAAAAACAACAAAAATATAATATTTCTTTCGTTTATGATTAATGGAAAACTAGAAAAATATTATAATTGTTTGTTATATATATTTTACCATTTAATTGTGTAATTTATTATAACAAAATATAATTGTATGATTGTTTAACAAACATAACATGAAAATATTAAATCATTTCTATTGCGTTAAATAATTTAAAATAATAATAATGCACATAAACATAGATATGTTTATCAAAATAATCGTTTTAAATATTTATTATATTAAAATGTATTCACAATGGGCGCACTTCACTATATAGGGAATACATAATAATAATTATCTTAATATAATGATTGTTTAAATATTGACAATAAAATGCCCTTTCATTGAACATTCAAATAATGAAAATCATTCGCAGAATAATAATTAAGATTTTATTTTAAGAAATACTATATGAAGACAAACAACAAGTTTTATCTCTGATGTCATGCTCTCTCCACAACTCTTTTAAATGCATTTATTTATAATTATTTGAAAAATAAAATTTTGGATTAAAGAAAACATCGAAACATTAAATTGAAATAAAAAATGATTTATTAGTTATTATATCATTAGTTCGTGTGAGTCATACAAATGCATACTATCTATTGTTTTTGGGGAAATTAAACCAATTTTTAACAATTAATGATTATAATTATATTTGCAAATAATTTTAATTGTGAGCACAGGTATGTCATTATGAGAGAGAGAGAGAGAGAGAGAGAGGATGAGTAGGAAGAGATTCAAATAATTAAGGTATGGTTTAAATGGTTTTAAAATATAATATTTATAAAATGTACTTTTAAAAAGTCTTATGAACATAAAAAATTTAAATATTATTAAAAATAAAAATAATTGATAGGATATGGGGGTTGAAATTGATTGCATTATCATTGAAATGAGTGTCAACTACAACAACCCCTACCAATAAAGTGCTTATAAGTAACAATTGAATTAAGGTTCAAGAATTAAAAATTCATTAATACGTGTAATGTTAATGTTTTAACAGTTATACAAAATATAAAATAATTATTGAGATAACAAATTAAATAAGCTCTCAATTAGTTAACATTTGAATACATTGTGAACCGAAAAATGCATATTTAATAAATATTTAGTGGAGATTTAATGCAAAAAATTATATTCAATTATAATATTTTTCTCATTATTATATATAATTATTTTAAAGTTCACGATAAATCTCTCTCTCTCACTTCTCTTTCTCTCTCTCTCTCTCTCTCTCTCTCTCTCTCCACTCTAACACTCTATCACTCATTCTCTCTCGCATTCACTCACTTATTCATCTAATTATCCTAAAAAGTGTTTCGAAAAATTGAAATTAAAACACAATTTATTACTTAGTATTGAAAAGTTGGATATAATGTGAAAAGCAAAATATTTTGCCTAATTTCTCACTTTTCAAAAAACCTAAATAACAATAATCACTCATTTAATCGTTGAGTGAAAGTGTTTTTTAGAGCAATACGTTTAATATGCACTAAAATATGTATCACACTTAACGCAATGCAAAGTAGTTTTGTGTTCACTAAAAAACAATACAATTTATTGCAAAACTTTTGCGTTAATATCGAAATAATTATTAACTCTGATTATAGTGAACGCAATTCAATGTGAATTTTATGACATTAATTGATTTAAACATTTGATGCAATACTCGCTGTTTTGCCTCAAATTACTCGCATTTTATGCTTTAATTAATCCACTAATTAATGGTCTGACCAGAGGTGGGGTCAGTCCCGTTGGGAACCGATTAACTCATTATGATTACACTGAACACTATTAATATTATTTTTTATACACTATTTAACCTTTTTTAAAATCTACATTAGTGTACACTATCATGCATTTGCCATAATTATGATTAACTATTAATATAACTAAAAGTATAGGAAAAAGTTGTCAAAAGTATTGAAAACTTAATTTTCAAATCGCATTTGACTTGAAATCAAATCGACTGACATTTGGGGCACAGACTGCCACCTATTGCCGGAAAATATTATTTGACAAAAACGCCAAATATTTGTGACGTGTTTTTCATCACTCATTTTGTCATTCAATTGAATGCGCTCTTCATATACAGTGTCATCAATACTAACACTGATGTCCGACTGAAATGTGCACTCAATTCACACACCTATTCACACATTTGATATACTTAACCAAAATATGTCAAAAACATGTCAATAATGAGCCTGGTACCATTTACTAATGCCATAGTCTCTCATGCGAATCAAATGGACAAATGATTGGCAACAATGGGGGCACTAATTGTCACGTCATATACGAGTGGGACTTATGTGGCGATTGCAGTGAATATGAGAGACGACTGAAAAGAGTGAACGAAATTGTCTTCAATTAACCCCCGATTTGGACACCAATTAAGACACGGATTGGCCGCCGATGTCGACCACAGCATCCATAACAGCGCCGACGATGTCGGCCACGGAGACGATGACGACAACAGCGGTGGTGTCGGACGTGAGGGACGGCTCCTCCGGCTCGTCATCGCCTGTACTCCGACTGCGACTCAAAGCGCACCCGAAGTCGTCGGACAGTCGGCTCCAGAAGAAAGTGTCGTTCACTGACTCGACGGTCGACAACGAGGGCTTGGGTCGCAAGAAGTCCAAGTGTTGCTGCGTTTACCAGAAGCAGAAGTTCTTCGACGACAACAGTTCCACCGATTCGGACGACTCGGACGACTGTCCCGAAAGTGATCACTGTTTCGGCCATAAGAAGAGACCAGTGAATGGTCGCAAAGCGGTTCACCACAAGCACGACGCCGACTGCGCCGCCGCTGCCGATCCGATCGATGAGGACATGGATGTGGAGGACGGCGTCAATGGTGTCGTCAGCAACTGATCCGTTGCCACCGAAATAGCCATTCATTTCTCATATCATAATTGCATTAAAACTATATATTACTCGTAGTTATCATATAAAATATATTATTATTTTATTATCAAATGATTTAATTTAAGTATAAAATAAATAATTACGTTAAAAGTAATGATAAAAAGTGATATTTATTATAAAAACATGTTTTTAGTTATGTTAAGGCATCTAATCCCTGATGAATACATTGGATTTACCCGCGAGTCTCGGGTGAATGAATGAATTTTTATTCATAATTAAAGTGTACTAATTATGACCTAGCCAAAAAGTAAAATAAGCAAGCAAAAAGTGAGTCGTGGTTCCGCCCGGGATCGAACCGGGGACCTTTTGCGTGTAAAGCAAACGTGATAACCACTACACCACGGAACCACATGTCAGGTGCTATTGTATATTACACTACTCGGTATTATACAAGTATATAATCATTATTTATTATTAATGACAGGTTTTTGTGTAACATTTAATTTGCAAAATTCATAGATAACTGTCATTTGGCGCACACCTATCACCTGCCAGTCTCTCCCACCCTTCCCTACATTTGGCAGCACTAGTACTGGAGAGCACCCGACGTTCAATGGGTGCGGTGCGGCCCCCAATAGCAACCATTACCCGTTCAGTTGAATAGTAATTTGCATTTTGTAGATAGCATGCGATTAAAGGCACTTGAATTATAAAAGTGATCACAATTTTAAACAATATTCACTGTAATTACACTTAACAGCTGTTACTTACGTTCAGTGTAACGAGTGGTTCACTATTCAGTTATCTATGGCTTAGAAAATAATTAGATATGAATTCTTGTAAATTTTACAAATTCTTATCGCATATGTAATGAGTACTCAATAGTAATCTTGAATAGTATAGAATCTACAGTAATATTCTTTATGGTAATCCCTCCCAATAATAATAATAATCGATAATATCCCAGAATATCCCACTAATTATAATTGAAAACCTATTTGTATTAACCACGAGATAAATAATTCATACGAAATAAATCACACATAAATCCACATCGAAAACACGGCTCAGTTTCAAGTCATTAGTTTCGCATGTTTTTAATGTTCAAAAATGAAATGGTTTTCCAAATTATTTGTCGCTTTAAAATATTTATATAAAAAAAGTTATTTTTGTTTCAAATAAATTTTTCGTAATAATTTGCAATTTTAAAAAACATTCCGTTTTATGTAGTTTTTGATATCAAAAAACAAACCGAAAAACATCGTCGCTTTCAAAATGACAACAAATTTTTCTCAAAAAATACAAATTTTCTTATCTATCAGTTCACTGATATAATTGAAGACAAATTGTTGGGAATAATTTTGGGGCAAAATTTAAATATCGAAAAAAACACAAAAGTTTCGCTCATTTCTAAGTCTATCGAAGAGAAAAATACAAATTAAATCAATTCATCGATTCATTCATCGCTTTTTGTTTTGGGATACGAGTCGCTAATCCGTTACGTAAAAAATGAGTTCAAATAAACATTTTTCCGTTCAATTGACTTAAAAATTGTTACTAAAAATTATTTAATAATTTGTTTATTAAAACGCGTGGAAAACACGGCCTCCCGTGCTATCATCCCTTGTTGTTATTAAACGGCGGTTTGTCTGTCGGCTGAATGGAGTTCGTGGCGGCGGTGGCGGCGCTCTTGTTGACGGCGCTCGAGACCACCTGCGCCGCGGTAACAGCCGGTGCCGGTTGGGTGCCAGTGGGGGGCGCCGCCGGTGCGGTGGCCGTGGGTTTGGCGGCCACGGCGTTCGCCTTCTGGTCGTTCCAAAACTTCTCGACCTTTAAATGCAAAGCAAACATACATTTCATACATAACTCACTCCATATGGTTAGTGAACATCGAAACACCGATCAATTCTTGTGTCCATTAGTGTACACAACGTGACACACATGAGTCAATCACACACTTAATGAGACGTTAAGCATATTATCGTTGAATACACACACAATAGACAGTCATTTAGTGTACGAATCACTCGTATGAGTGGACAAAATGAATCAATGGGTAAATGTCGGCAAAAATATTCACCAATTTTTTTGTATAATTCAAAGAATTCTGTGGAGAGTTGGTTCTGGTCTTAAGTGGCGTACAATTGTCGGCCTTATATGGCGGTGCGATTCGGACGCTGTTGTCCACAATTATACAGTCGCCGTCCCATACGACCACTACATCCTTATTCATACTATACAAACACCACAATAATTAGCATTTGAGTCCAAATACTGGGATATCTGCGTTCATTAGACATACGTTTTGGTCAATTGAAGCCATAATTTGATGCCTTCAGTGCCGGCGCCAGCATTGAAGGCTTCGGCCAATCGTTTGCGTTCATCGACTGCTCGACGGTATCGGTCCTCGACCTTCAGAAGTGATACAAACAATGAGATTACAATTGGAGTCAGAGATAATCAATGAGTTAGTGATAAATGAGATAAACATAAGCAATGGTGCATACCTTGGATGTGTTAATCTGCGGCAACTGAGTGTTGACCACATCCTCGCGCTTCACCTCCTTCTTGACGGTCACGTCTTTGACAGACTCCAGATTCAGACAATGGATATCATTGTGGTTGGCGTTGCCATCGCTGCTATTAGCCTCTGCAATGGCACACACAGTGACAGTGATATAAATGCTAAACCAATCAATTGGCGGAACCGATGGGTGACTCACTTAAGACGAGCAGCCGTTTGGTGTAATCGAAAGCAATGACCTCACCGTCGATGCGGACGTCATAACAGGTGAGACACGAGACCAGACTTCCGACGGTAAACATACATTCGGTGATGTCATCGGTGGCCATCATATCATTGCAAATCAATTTCATTTAGGGATCAATTGACTCGACTGGACGACCGCGCGATCACTGAATGGGCACTTCTTGGGGGTCTTCGGAGGGGCTGCCAATGGATGCGACCGTCACTACAATGGCGACAACCGATGGATAGTGGGATGTGATGGACACTAATCTCTTGAGACCATTGAACATATGGTCCGCGAAATATAGCTTTTAATGAAAGCGACGATTAAAATGTGATTCAAATGTGATTCAAATCAATGACTAATGAATTGCCGGTATTTTTGATGTTTTCTTTCACTATTTACTCACTATTTGTTTCACTATTTAATTATCTTTTATTAGTTTTGGGCTTTGATTTTGCACTGAATATGAGATGTTATGAAACATTAGCACTAATTGTTCATCAATTGCTATCAGTTTGTAACCATTAATTGGTTTACAATTAAATACAATTAACTAATTAATTGTGTTTACAGCACATAACGTGTGAACACATTATCCACACTATGTTTACTGCAATGCATTCATACGATAGACATTGCATTCAATGCACAGTCAATGAGTGTTTATGGCTGTGTTCGGCACTGAAGCCGACATTACCTACAATAGCACCTCCACTACAGTCGGCGCCCGTTATCCATACGCTTTCATAATCATTGAAAATGCTTATTTTCATCAATATATTAGCATGGTAATTAGAAATGGTAAGATTCTATGTCTATTTAGCAAATATACTGTTATTGAACACAATGCTATCAATTGTATGAGTGCTCACACAATAGGCAGTGTTTGAATGTATGACTGATTTAGTAGTAGTGAACCACTGGTGACGTCAGCCCGAGAGTTGATGCCATGCAGGCCGGGGGTAGTGTCGGTGCCCTTTAGCCCCATATGCTCTGTATGTCTGATAGTTTTTTAAGGGGTGAGCTATAGAGAGCTGTCAGTTATGCAACTTATCTACCAAAATGTGAAATTCAAATTTGACACCAGTTTATGATTACTGTCTTATCGGCAGTTGATTTCCTGCTAAAAACTCCACTTTTGGATCACTTTCTCACAAATATATCAAAACTTTTATATCATTTCAATGAATTCAACAAACTTTTAGACTAACCATTGATTAACAGGTCATTAGACAAGAAATATTTATAATTAAAATTAATTTATATTTATTTTGATGATTTCAATACAATTTATTACAATTATGGTAATCATATTAATAAACTAATCATTTAATAATATTATTATCTCACAGAAATATAATTAATAAATTAATACCGGTAAAAGATTTCCAGTTACATATACGGTAGGCATTTGTATAACACATACATGCCTACCACTGTATGCATACATACCATTCTCATGACATACGAGTATAAAGTTATAAAATTCATAAACAAATTATTGACAGAAAGGGGATACACTTTGTGTCCGATTATTATGTATAAAAATGATTATTTCATTTATTCATTAAATGGTTTTCAATTAACTTTGTTTTCAAATGAGATATTATTTCAATTATGCACTGAATTCTCACAAAAATACACTTTAATACAGTAGACTCTCATCATAAGTAATGTTAAAATAATCAAAACTTCATATTTCATACAAAATATAAAACCTTTCATCCAATTGTTCACTCACTAGTCGGGGCATAGATAGCGGGTGAGGAAGGGAAGTAATACAGTATAGTTAGTGTACATGTGATTAACCGTTATCAGATGTGGACATAATATCATATTTAACTAGCGTTATAATTAATAAGTTTAACTATAGATCTAAAAACTTGTTTATAAAAACTCCTGTCAAACACATCATCACTTCATTACATGAATACAATTCAATTCACAGTATAATACACCGCTTTTTCTTACGGCCGGCCTTTTTGGGGCCATTACTCGTCTCTCCATCCGTGAGCTTACGTTTGCGAATCTCACGCATTAAGTCAAAGAATACCTGTTTTGCGCACAAAGACAAACAAAATGTGATTACAATTAAGATAACAATAATTAAGATGTCAATCGGATAGTCACACACTTTATCGACATTAAGCCGCGTCTTAGCGCTCGTCTCGATGTAGGGAACCTTCCAGAGCTCCGACAGTCGGTGCGCCTCATCCAGAGTAACGGAGGCAGAGAGTAGGTTTAGCCGAAATAAAGGGTGATTTTGCTTACCATACAATAGCAGCGGGAAGTGGGCGTCATAGACGAGAGACATATGGCATATTTTGTTTATGTTTTTTCACTCTATTTTTCAATAAGAAACTTATGTCTATATTTGTAGCTCAAGTGTGAAATTTGCATAACATTTGCGAACAATTTTCTTAAAGTATTGCATAAATTTTGCATTTTATTAATTCAATTCACACTTCATTTCGTGACTTAAGTTAAAGGCATCGACCCTTCAAAACAGTTGTACGTCACACCAGTTTTACTGACACTAAACCCCATACAATGAACACCTCAATAGTGTACAAACACTGCACTAATAAATTTATCAATAAAATGCAATTCACTATTAAATCACAAAACAATACATTTGCCTAAAAAATGGGAACAAACTTTCGCAACACAATTGACACGAAAAAGTGGGTGTTTTATACAGTAGTGTACTGTCACTGAGTGTACACTAAAACTAAATGATAATCAATGGCCACAAGAATAAAGACCTGAATTCACTGACGGCCGCAAAGCTTCCTCCGTCTCTCATCCAAATCGGCTTTATTTCCCACTAAAACGAATGGTATGTTATCGTCGCCCTTCACCCGCAGTATCTGCTCTCTGTATACCGTATAAAACAAATACAAAAAAGTGAGATAAAAAACAATAAGAAACTTATGTCTATATTTGTAGTTCAAGTGTGAAATTTGCATAACATTTGCGAACAATTTTCTTAAAGTATTGCATAAATTTTGCATTTTATTAATTCAATTCACACTTCATTTCGTGACTTAAGTTAAAGGCATCGACCCTTAAAACAGTTGTACGTCACACTAGTTTTACTGACACTAAACCCCCATACAATGAACACCTCAATAGTGTACAAACACTGCACTAATAAATTTATCAATAAAATGCAATTCACTATTAAATCACAAAACAATACATTTGCCTAAAAAATGGGTTGTGTTAACTGTGCTTTTTCACCCACAAAATATGTCATCACATGACAGTGACTCACATGTGATTTTGATTTACTATTAGTTACCGGTGTTCTTATTTCTGGACTTAAGTGACTGCCGGCGTTTCGACTCGTGTTCTGTCAACGAGTAGACACAGAGGAAGCCTTCGCCGGATCGGAAGTAATTGTCACGAATGGCGGCGTAATCCTCCTGACCGGCGGTGTCCAGGATGTCGATCTGCACCTCATCGCCATCGAGAACCACTTTCTTGCGATACGAGTCCGCTTTCGTCGGCTCGTAGTCCTCGATGAACTGATCCACGCGATGGCCAATCGCCACACAATCGGTGGTTAAGACAAATGAGATTACAGTTAGAAATGGCAGTGCAATGACCGGCACCTGTAGACGGTGGTGGTGGTACTACTGGTGACATACCTCGTCGTACATGAACTGGAGTGTGAGCGCAGACTTGCCGACCCCACCGGATCCGACCATGATCACTTTGTGCAGTGGACACTGTTGGCCACCCGTTTGCCGGCTATTATTCTTGGCCATCGCGGACCAGCTATCGGTCACTGCTGTCAACAGCTCTCGCAGACAACACGTGTTCAGTGGATGTGTTATACGAGAGACAATGCAAACGTGTTTTACAAACCAAGTCCTAATAGTCTATCGTTTCAGTGATTGAGTCACTAATGAATTGCATGAATGAGTGAATCAATGATAACACAAATGAATGCATTGAGAGTTGAGTTGATTTCAAAAATACTGTTAATGTTTATCACACATTCATCTATCACTACAGTCTACGCCCGATACACACTACACAAGCTATCAATGGTTAGATACATATGAAATAAATTATATGTTTGCAAAAATATAAAACATACTTTAATTAAAAATATATTTATTAATTATAATATTTCTAATTTGACATAATAATTTTATTTAATAAGTTGTTCACTATAGTTAGCATAACTTTAACTCTACAATACGTGGGTTATTGCGGTATTTGACGCTATCATTATCCAGTATATTACGTTACTGAAACACATTAAACTTGATCAAATAAAATGGCAATGTTATAGAAACCTATAAAAATTAAACTTGATGAAACAATTTGAACAAGGAAAATATCCTAAATCAGTAAACTGGACAATAATTATTTATTAAAAGTTATAAAATGCCAAAACGGGGGCTAATTATGAGACAGAAAAGTATTGATTAGTTTTGTGGCCGTAATTGACGCGAGAGTTAGCGTTCACTGAATGAAAGCATTTGCGGATAGGATTGCATTGAATTGTGTTTGAAATTCGTGTGACATTTGATTCATCGCTTGGTTGTGACCGCTATTGCAGTGAACACCTCATCAGTGGTTCCCAATTGACCGCTGAATCGACGCTCAGTTCGCATACAAAGTGCTGTGAATTCACTGTTTCACTGATACCTCAAAAGTAATGTTTTATTCATTCATTCATTCATTGATTACACTCTTTATGATTGCATTGAAAACAATGCCGTTGTTTACGAAACGCTTACGAGATTTGAGTTGAATTGGCGTTTCATTTATGATTTCATTTCAATTGTATTTTGTTTTTCAAAAGTCAAACCTCTATTCAAATGTCGTTTTGTATGTAATGATGAAAGTAATAGTGTTTTGTATGAACTCAAGACTCGACACCACAAGACAGTCACTCAATTG